GCCACAGATGATCCGGCATGCTTTTATGGCTGCTGAACTGTGAGGGGTTGGCCCCTCCTGACCCTGCATTTGCAGTGAATAGTGGGATTAGGGAGGAATGCTAGCTACAAAAATTGGGATCTTCGTCAGTTTGTATGATGAGTTTCATCCTCTCATCTGTATTCTGCCAGGCACTGATTCCATAACACTTTAGAAAAACAGTAATTGAAGTAATCATGAAGTTAAACTCTTCAGAAAACCTCCGACACTTTGCAAGGAGGTTCTAGCTAAACTAAATACTTTGAAAATACTAGCTGTAAGATTTCAGATAATATAGTGCCAAACCTGGCTAAAATGTGTTATTGCTTCATTCCAAAGTGCAGTGGGAGATAAATCCTGACTCCACTGTCAATTCTATAACTAAGAACATTCTGCTAATGTCTGTGCTAGTTTAAGGCATTGCTGCTCCCTTCAGTGCTGGTTCCTATAAGGCAAAATGACAAAACTTCTATTTATACAAAAGAAACAAATTAAAAAATGAGTCTATTCATGTTTAAAATGTGGTTCATTAGAATTAACATCTAGAGGAATACATTTTTGTCTTCTCAATCTCTGTTTACATCAATTTAAGGAAATGAGAAAAATGTAAATAATCTGAATTAATACTTTACAACACTTAAAATGAAAGGTTACTTCAGCTTACATGATCCAGAGGTTTAACTTTTGGTTAACAGTTCAAAATATATATGAACTCCTTATCATGAACTCAATTCTAACCTTAAGATCTTTGAAGATTAAATTTAATAGTGTATTCCACAACACGCATTTTATATGGTCTAATACTCCACCCAAACAGCTGACAATGTGCTCAAAATAGCATAACTCATGAGAAATAGTCCTTAAAATTAGATTTGTGCAAGTGAAAATGTACAGACTAAAAAGAAAAGAAGCTCCTATGATACTTCAAAAATTCTCACACTAATATTCAGTTGAAAATGAAACATTTCTTGAAAGAATACAAACTAGCCCATTTTTGACTAATTCTTACCTTCCCTCTTTTAAAAGGAAAATTAAAGATAAATTAAACTTTTTGGCAATTTAGTTCCATTAGCAGTATTATGTTATGTCTATACCTCACAGATTCTCTTGTAAAGCTCCTTTGTCTGTTAAAAGACAGAGGTGACACAAAAGCAAACTAGCAGCTGAATAACAGAACTTTCACCTGCTAGGTAATGTGAATATTAAGTTGAATAATGAAGACTTTTTTTCTTCAATCTCTCCACTACCACTGACTGCCACCTCTTTTGCCCATTTGAATACTTATGCTACCACCAGCTCCATTTTCTAAACGTACTTGGTCTGTGAAATGCACTCACTTAGCTGTACAGCACAGCTTCTCAGTCTGTCTTTGTACATTCTCAGACCCACACTTGTCAACATAACCAATGCAAATCATGATTGAAGAACTAACTTTATATTGTATTGCCAGTATTCTTCTTATGCGCTTATCGGTCACACCTCATAATGAGGTTTACTTCCTTTCAGTCCTTTGGGAAAATGGTTGCAGTTCAAGTTTTTGACCTCAAATGAGCAGAAGTACCACTGGAAATTTTCAAATCAAGATGTAGGATTCCTTATATTATCCATGGCATATAAATTTATTTCCCTTAAAAAGGTATCTACACCAGCCATTAGAAAACTTTCATAAATCAAAGCTATGTAGAAGCACACTTCCCTCTACAAAACAAGAAACTGGAATGTCAGCTGTATAGTACCTCCTCTGACCACCTACCCTCTCAACACTCGGGCAAATGTGGAGAAGAGTCCAGAGAAGCGAAGAAGAGTCCAGGAGGCAGCTTAGGAAATTTTCTAATTGTACAAAAACTGCTGTACTCTGTACCTGAAGCAACGACCTGTTTGTCCCACAGCTGTCCCGCAAGTTTCAAAGAGGGCATGTGTTTAGATGAAAAGGTCAAAATTTTCTGTAGTGCAAACCCGCTTTTAACTTCTGCCATCTAGTCACAGCTTCTCATAGCAAGCAAAAGAAAGCGGGACCTTACAGAGCAGAGCCCGGTTATTACCAAAAAAGTGCATCGCAAAGAGGATCACCGTCTTTTATTGTCATTGTGCAGGCAAAGTAGCTCTGGAGAGGTTACCAGCAGTTTCTAAAAGCTGGCCTCTCCCCAGCAGGCTGACACCCTACAGCTTTAGGGGCTGAGGAAGGACTCCCGTCCCCTCTGTGCTGAGCACCTGGGGCGCTGACCTACCCCACCTCCTCCTCCCGTGGCTCTGTGCCAAATGAGAACTTAAGAGCTGAAGCCTGAAAGTAACTCCGTAAAACTGTTCTTGGAAAGTAGAAAAGTGGTCTATTTCCGAGATATAAAAAGGTAAGTTTACAAGAAGAAACACTTTAGAAAACCCCGAAGTATTTATTTCTTTGAATACTGAAACTAACAAATGTTAGTACCTGATGCAGCGAAACGCAGCCAGAGTTGACTCTTGACAAAGCAAGAAACTCACCAAAGTGTAAAAGAAATGGGACTGGTGAAATAGAGAACAGATGAGAACTAAACTAATGAACTAAAAGGAAGAAGACTATTTGTAATTTTTAAAACCATCAGGATTTCTCCATAAAATAGCAAGCGCTTGGAGAGCTTTGATAAATACCCTTGTAATAGCAACAACAGACAGTGTGGCTGTTCTGTGCTTTTTCTTCCCAGGGATCTTTATTATTACGGGTTGCATGTGTACTGACTCATTAAACAGAATGAGTTCCTTAATCTGTATGTTCTGATGAACTCAAGGTCTTACATCACAACCCTACCACTAATGGCGTCTCATAATAGTCAATACTAGCAAAACTTTCACCTTTCTCATGTGCCTTTAGATGTTGTAATTAACTATCTACAGTTATGTTTACTGTCACCTCTCCTCTTGCCCATCTGTTTATATTTCAGATAACCCTGCAAACATATTTATAGAGAGATATGAGAGCTATCTTATAATAGACATGTATGATAGGAAGAAAGCTAAAAAAATTCATTTTGCTGCTTTTGCTTACACTAGTTCATCAAAAAGAGTAAAACATATTGACAGAAAAACTTCTTGCCCTCTAAATTAACTTGAGTTAATTGGCAAAAATTTTAAGTACCAACCAAGATTTTATGAGCTTCGAGATCTAAAACAGCCATACTGAGAAAGAAAAAAAGAAATTTTGCCCTAACCAAGATACTTATATCTTGACCAGATACTTATATCTTTTGCCCTAACCAAGATACTTATATCTTATCTCAAACAATGCACACACTGGCAATTTCAGCCTCTTCACTTCATAGAGAAAAGGGTACTATTCAACAAGATTCAAATCTATGAGCTTCACTAATAGAAACAGGAATCTGACAAGTCCTGCAGTTGGACGAACTATTCATAAATTTGTCATTTTTGTTGCAAACTGATATGAAAGTTGAAGGCAGGAATTAAATACATAGGTGTTCAAACATTCAAAATTGTACTTGCTATTGACACTCCTGTATGATCTCCTGTAATAGAAAAATATATGGAAGAGTAAAGTTCTGAAGAAGATTGTTTCTGTTTCAGAATTTCACTGTAAAACTGAAAACTATGCCTTCTGATGACACACAATCTATAAAGGAGACAAATTACTTGTGAAATTTAAATAACATGCATTTTGTAACATTTATTTTAAACATTATATGTATAAAAATCTGCAAACCATTTCTTTTAGATATTTATGTTTCCGTCTGCACTATATTTATTCTGAAACAAGTTATGTCTATTGAAATATTGGTACTTATTGCAAAAAGTTTACAGATTGGTAGGTAGTATTCGGCTTAGGAGAAAGACATTTCATCGCAAAAAGCTGTCATGCTGAAAATTGTCATATAAAACGTCACCTTTTATAGCTGCAGTGGCTCAACTTTTCTATCTAGTTAAGCTGTCACTCACTTTGTAAACATGACATTAGGTACTGTCACCCAAGCAGAAAAGAACAGATTCAGATTCTGAAATTAAACTGTCTTCTGTTTTAAAAGAGTTAAATCTTTATGTAAGACGTAATCTTTGCTCAGAACCCCAATAACGTGCTCTGGGTAACTGTATTAGATTTATATTCTCATTTCCTGTTTTCCCACAGGGAAAAAAGTGGGAAACATTCTTCTGTGTTGTATGCTGCTGAACAACTAAGAAACATAAAACCTTTTCTGTATGTATATATAGCTTGTTCTTTATGTCCCTGTTCAAATCAATAGCAAACTTTTCATTCATCAACAGATTTGACATATACAACGAGTAAGGTAACAGCACTGCAATTTCTAGACTGTAAATACTAACAACAAATTTAGTTCCCTTACCTCATCTTTTTCACCATTTTAAACCAGTAAAAGTTAAAATGTTAATGTTTTACTTGCATTTTTCCTCTCTGCTCTCTACTGTCTATTATCCAAGTTTTGCTAATACTGATTTTCCACCTTCTGCTTAAAGAAGCACTATTCCAAAAGGTTTTACACCCCGTGCAGTCTATAACACCATAACTCAATACCCCCACAACTGCATGCTACTATAAGACTAGTCCGATAGACTGCAGAACAGCACTGTGCAGTCACAAGTCAACCTCCTGTACGCGTCAAGATACACAAGTCTGGGTTCACTTCTTCATGTGGTCTCCAGAAAGAGAACAGAATCGCCATAATCTCTTCATTTTAGTGATACAAGATCACAGCTCAAAACCATAAATAGCTGAATAGGTAATGCCAAAGGAATTGAGAACTGGAACTCATGAGCAAGAATTTTAGAGCAGGAATTTCTTGAATCTGAATCATCATGAAAGGGATTATATCACTGAACTACATCCCCCAACAAATACCCTCCAAAACAGCAGCGAAGGAATTAACTGGCTGCATTTACACATCACATATCACAGTATTAGTTTGTAATCTTCTCCAGTTAAATTTTTGTAATACAAAGCAAAAACTAATCTAATACCTTTGAAATGGTTTACTCACCTCATCTAAATCTTTAATATAAACAATTTTCTCTTCAATACCAATAGGCATTGGTTCACTATGGGGGATCTTCACCTCTTCATACATTTTATTGTTTTCTCTCTGAACTGCCTCTGGTAAGAACACCTAAAACAGTATTAGAGGAAAATTAATTGGAAGTATGAAAACAGAAAGTATGATTATGTATAATCCAATTCGAACAATGGTTTGTCACTTTTCTTCAAAAAAGGAATCAAAAATAAAAGCAATTCTCACTGATTCATTTTATAGATAGTACTGGACCCCTAAAATGGAAAATAATTACTTTTACTACTCAGAAAATAGTCCCCAAAAGACAAAAAAGGTAACTCCATTTTATTAAATTTCAAAAGCCATTAAGTCTAGAATTTCATAAAGGATTCCCTTTGTTAAAGTCAATTCAATGGTCTCCAAAAGATAGGAGGAGAAAAATAGTATTTTAATGATTTAAGTGACCCTAGAAATAAAAACAATTACATTAGCTGAGAATGAGATTATTTCTTCTAGAGTCAAAATAAAATCAGAAAACATTAAAGTGTTTAAAACCGTCTGCGAAGAAGCACTGCTTCATACATTGGCCTCTGATAAGGAGGAGAATCTCCTAATGGAACAAAGGGAACCCTGCTGCACATTATTCACTGGGAAAGACGGACTGTTCAAGAAGGACCATGCACAAACACGTACCTTTGCACCCCCAATGAATGCTGATGTTTTCATAGCTTCAGCTCGGGAATCATAAACATGTGGATAATGAGTTTTTTCGAAGTCCATCTCTCTCTGTCTACCTAGGACTGGCATACTTCGAGCATTCAAAAGTGCTAGTTCTCTGTGATCAGAAAAAGAACTGCAATAATTCTGCCCATTTTAGGCAACACAAAAACTGAATGTCGTATATTAAAGTCAGGACGAGAGTTGTGGAAATTTAAGGAAAAAAACATTGCATAACATAATCAACAAAGGAATTTTACAGTGCTATTCTCTGGCATCAGTTAAACCAAGTCCTTACAACATGCTATTTAGATAAAAATCAGAAGTGCAATCCAGTAAGTGCAAGGCATTCCTAAATGCAGTTTTGCCTCTTTTTAAGCAGTACAGCAACATGCATTTACAGTTAGGTACCAGCCCCACTATATTTTTCTGAATACAAAATACAACAGCTTATTTGCTCCTTATCCTCTCCCTCCCCTACTACTCCCACTATGTTTAGTTCACAACATAGAAAATAGTACCCATTAATCTTGAAAGGAAAAAAGAAAGATAGTTCTGATAGATTTAGTACAGACTTCATAAATCTTAAGCAAGTGGTGTGCGTACAGGAACTAAGAAAGATAGACTACCCCTCTAATCTGCATCTCCAGCCCACACAGAGGAGATCAAGAAGATTCTCATTAAGCAGATCACTGCTTTCTTTCCCTGAAAATTAGATTTTCATATTAAAAAAATTCTACACTTTTAATGAAACGTGACTTGCAGTCAGAATCACCTAATCACCAAAGCAAACTAAGAGAAAATAAAATGATATATTGAAGTAGCAATTACAACAGAAGCATTCTCATCTTTTGGTATTTATTACCTTTGCATCCGGAGCTCTCTGGGATCAAAGCACATTAGTCCCTCTCCAGAAACTTCTCCATCTTCCCCAGCTTGTTTTTCTTTTCTGGCATTTCGCTTTTCTTCACGACGATATTGTTTCATTAACAGCTTTTCTTGTTCAGATTGAATTGTAACTTGACAACCATAATTCGGCTTAGCATTTTCTCCTATAAACTTCTTGCACTGTTCTGTAATATGGTAACAGGTATGCATCTCAATAATTACGGGATTCCATCTTTGTTTTCCCCAACTGTCTTCTTAAGGGTTTTTGAAGTTTAATTTTTTTTTTTTGGGGGGGGGAGTGATGTGTGTTTAAAGATAGTTTAGCTTTATGTAGATGACCATGAAGCAGTTGGCCTCAAGAAATCTAAAAGAAGTACAAGTTCATGTCCCAAAGGTAGGATATTTAAAGTTACCACTGTTAACGAAGCAAAATTTCTTCATTCCAAAGCAAGAGGACAGGCTAGCAGCAAAAGGAAAGGCTTTTTTATTTTTCTGTATTTATAACTTCATCAACAGTGGAAATCCCTTATCTCTCCTCTTACATAAACACACTGATGAGCATAAAGGTGTGAAAGCGGATTAAGCAGGCTGTTTTTTTAAACAGCCTCTTCACATAACAATTAGTGTATATTTACTAGATAACATGATTGTATTGAAAGCATACTCACAATGTAATTTCCCTAAACAACTGAGAAAGACAGACTATTCTCTACAACCACATGGACTCCTTCCCTTTATGTGGATAAGCAGCAGGATTGAATCAAGAAGAATCAGAACACAGAACAATTACAATAAACAATAAATCTAGGGGAGCAGGGAACCCAAAAATGCCCAGTCATATTTGCCCTTTTGAGGCCATTACTGGCCAAAACCAAAGACACAACCAGGTCTCTTATATGCAGTGGGATGGAGAGATTTGTTTTGTTTTTAACTATATCAGTGCTTCTAAACATCTATTTTCAAAATTCTGCAAACAGATTATTAGTTTATGTAGGTAATTCAGTTATGTTTCATATGTACTTTTGCAGTCAAACTCTGAAGCTGAAAACCTGAAAACTTATTTTTATCAAAGAAATTCACTTGACTGATGCTCTGAACAATTTGTGCTGCTTAGTTTTAACCTACAATAACAGTAAAACTCCTACATCTCATACCATGCATACTTGATTAGGTGACTATAACTTGTTAAATAGCATTGAAAAAATTCTAATAAACTGTCAAAATGTCCACAGTAATACCATCACGTGCATAGCTTTAACTCTTTCTCTCTCTTGTATTAAAAAGGAGCAACAATTAATGCAATTTCCTGACTAAATATAATTCAGAATGAACACACCAGACCAAACAACTGTTACTTGATTTGTCTGATAAGCACAACAATCACCTTTACTGCCCTGGAAGTAAATTACGTAAGAAATAGTCAAACAGTATGGCATGCTACAAAAATGCAGCATACGTACAGTTCCTTGACTTGTGTTTATTTTCTCAAGACACAAATTACTCAGAGTTGACTAAATTCCTGCAGACACAAATTATTCCCTTCCTAAATTCTGGAAAGATAAAACTTCAATCCCCATCAGAAAAACCTTTCTGATCAACTTAAAAGAAAAAATCCTTATTAAAATTAATAAACTGAACTTGGGGCAGAGAATCTTCAATCTCAGAGAAGAAGATACTCAAATGTCATTGATGACTTTACCACAGTGAAAGAAGGGTTGTCTCGTCAGTGAAAAAAACACAGTTAGTAACGCCTTCCTATTGTCTCAAAAGCACAACATTGAAAATATTATTCCTCTGCATTCTAGCAGAAATTACTGTAAGAGATTTTACTGATGGCATAATGAAGAATAAATTCATAAAAGCTTCCAAAATACTGCTTCTGCTAAGCAAAAAGAAGATGCTTGTGAAACTAAAATCTGCACATACAGGAAAAACTATAATAGTTCAGTTTCTACCGAATGTAATGTTAATTTTTTATTATTTGGTTATTTGAGAAGGAAAAAATATCAAGACACAAAACCTTGTTATGTTGATAGCAAGACATCCCTCTTTGAAATCACGAACAGACAAAACTAATAGTTATTATGGTGAGTTTAGACTAACCATCAGCACAATAAGAGGTGAACTTCAAAACACTTGCTTATATAACATTTAAGATAAACCTATTAAAAAGGGGTTACTTGCATTTTAAAATTATCGTGAGCATACATAAGTCCACCATTATCAGTTTTATTCACATTTTTCTAACTCCATACACTGTGAACATGCATTAGACTGCATGGTGCTATGTCCATGTAAGATTTATCCCAAGTCACAACCTATTCACAATCAGATTTACTTTTGTCAGAGGACAAAGCGAGGCTTGTTTTTAAACAGCAATTTGTAAAACAGATTTTAGAATTACTCTGTGAAGATAATTTATCTTATAAAAACAAAAATCACAGTATAAAACCTGACCCCCTTATTTTTCCTCTCATTTATCCATCCTTAAACTTGACTTTATTTTCTTCAAAAGTTGATACTGTGCTTTTCCTCCCCAAGACCTATATTTGATGATACTACTGAAGTAGAGAGTAAGTAGGAAAGCAGATGAGGAATAACTCAAAATCAATTTATTTCCAGAGTAATTCATTAAAATAGACAAAGTGCAACAGTAAATACATTTTAAAATTACACAAGCCCTTAATCAGTTGAAAAGTAAATATATGCAATATGTATTTGTTTCCGCTCTCTAACCAGACCACAGTCCACCCCATCCCTATTTTTGGGGGGCTTCCTTATTAAATACACATAGGCAGTACTGTTGTTTGATATATAACTGAACAGTCAGAAAACTACTTTTTATCTGGTCACTTACCTTGCAGAATCTGGAACCTGTTATCATTTGGACAAGTCAAAGATCTTTCCAGAATGAGAGATCTGTTCTGTAGGAGTTTCTCTATGAGTTCAAAACCTTCTGGGCCTAGCAGTTCAAATAACTACAAAGAGAACAAAGTCATAAGTCATTATCCAAATTAATATAGTTTATAATTAGGACTGCAATACTTCCATCCCTGGCAACAGTGTATCTGTTGACAATGAATTTAAACAAATTAATAAACTTCAACTCCAAGTAATTCAACCTGTAAGGTATTACTGCTCATATTCAACCAGATTCTCTATTACAAAAAGGGAAAATTACAGAAAGTTCTCAGCTGGAAATACATAATATCTGGGAATTTTTTCTATTAAGTAAAACTTCATTTCTCTTAGAGATTCTTGGATAAAATTTAACTCTCTTCAAGACTAAACTTTATGTGTCTGTCCTTATGCTTATTTACATAAACTATGCTGCAAATTTATTCCTCCACAATCTAAGCAGATAAATCAAGAGAACCAATGCTTTTTCATAAAAGTCAGATAAATAGGAAGTAATTTCCATTACAGTGAACAAGAGATATAGCCTACTGCATTTTCATAGTCATGTTCTACAAAAAAGGAAAAAAAAAAAACAGAAGTGGAGTACAGCATGAATTTGAAGAAACAATTAAGACAGCACTAGTATTGACTTCAGTCTATACTACTTGCACATATAATGTGTGAGCATGTGCTATTCAAACATACGATGTAGGTGATGTACAGTGGAACAGATTTTCACATGAATAAGCACTATTTTGGCCCAAAGGTTCTCTTATTCAAATGATTCTCTTGTAGCAGGTTAGATAAACACAATTCCCTATTTAAGGTTCCCTTTTCTACATTATACTGTACTTTAATGGAAGAACCCCCCACCCAAATCACTAAAAGCACTTCCCTGTCCATCTTATCTATTTTGTCAAAAATCAAAGCATCATAGTAGAGCAGTAAGTTAGTCAGAACCCATTCTTGCTTTCTAATGCTGCTTAAAACAATTTTTCTCCCTTTTTTTAAATTAAAAAAAAAAAAAAAAGAAAACAGGGCAGTTTCTCCTTAGTGCTCTTTAACTTTGCTGCTAATATTATTCATATACCTTCAAGAATCATGTAAGAATAGAAGTAATTATACACTTTGATGTGATGTTCTATAAAAGAGTAAGACTACAGCACTGTAGGATTCAAGTATTTCTGTTCTAACTATAAAAAGGAGAGAGAGGTTTCTTACTGTTCTCTATTTAATTTGCCAGCTCCTTGACAGAGAGTTTTTCTGTGGTTGTCTGTGACTACTGCTCTCTGGGAACACCTTCAAATAACTTCATGCTGTCCCTTCACATATTTACAAAAATTTGAACAGTATCAAGGGCATCAGATCAACGATCTCTTTTTTTTTCAGGCCAATCTCTACTTCATGATATAAGATGTCATATAAAAATAAAAAAATAATAAATACCAAAAAGTGTTACTCCTGGCCCTCAGGGTTTCTATGAAAAACATAAGGTTTGTGCAAACTAGTATAGCAATGACAGAGTTTGCAGAGACCATGAAATAACAGCTCCAACATGTATAAAGTCTTGTATTCCTTTCATTGTAGTAACCAATGATGGCAAACTGGAGAAGCAGTCTGCCAAAAAAAAAAAAAAGTATGCAATAAATGTGAACTAATAGAAAATTCTATACTCAGATAGAAGGAACAAATTACAAAAACACAGGACAAAGAACTGCTGGCTAGATGTCAGTTGTGCTGTCAAGGATCTCAAGCTATGATGGATTTCTTCTTATCCAGCCCTCACTAACAATAATCATTAATTCTTGTCTTTTGCATAGCTGTTCACTTGTCACTTTACTGCCACATTTTAGCCAATATTATCTAAAGATATAAGATGACCTTACTTTTATATTTCAAAAGAAAGTAGAAAATTAGTTATGGTAAATTTGAGGAGTAGGTGTTTTCCAAAGGTAAATGTTTAAGGCAGGAAGGAAAAATACAGGAGCAACAAGAAAAGAAGTATATTTGAAATAGCTTAATTGTATAAAGAACTGAATACAAGCTTATCTCAACTTCGCTAATGTCCTGTTGACTGTGGAATACCAGCAAGACAGGGAAATGAAATGCTTTCAATTCAATCAGATCTGGGCTTTCACACTAGCTTTTCATCAAGGCAGTACACACAATGTAAGCATATTCTGACTTACCATGTTGCCCCCCCCAAACCAAAACAAACACACACCTCCACCCCATCACCCCCAGAAGGCAAACAATACATTAGTCCTAAAATACCCAATGTAGACCTTCAGGTCTGCCCAGGACTCCAAAGCATCTCGATCACTGGAAGCTGTTAAGAACAACCTAGAAAAGCATCAATCAGAAAAAATGTTTTTTGCCGGGGAAATAGATGACACCGGGTTTTTTTTGGAACAGGAAGATATTTTTTGACTCCTAGTTCCCCAATATATTCTGAAACAAAAAACATCTGTATCAAAAGTATTTAAACCAATTAGAACAGCAGGGCCATTCAAAGCAGTAGCAATGTGACACGATGCATTCTACCTCATGGCCAGAGGTCATGAAGTAAAACCAGTAGCACTTACTCCATCCCCAGTGAGCTAGAGGCTCAAAAGAAAAATACCAAGATGAAACTGTGCATCCTACTCTCCAGATAGCCTACCAGCCAAAGAGAATTGAACTCATGCAGTGTTACACGACAGACTCTGCAATGCTCGGGTGGTAAAAATCACTCCATTTTTATCAGTGGACAGTGTGGTATTCATTTGCTACCAGCAGTTTGAGAACGGTCTATATCACCTAGATAATCTTACTGCTCTCTGAAAAAGAAGGAGGCTTTCAGAACATTTTAAACAGTTAAAACAGACTGAGCTCATTGTTCAAGATGGAGGGAAAAGAATACAGAAGGCCAGAAGCAATGACCTGTTCTTACTGACATCTCCCATGCCCACTAGAAGACTGCCAGAGATCATGGGTGCAAAACAACCATTGAGAGATAAGCCAAGACAGAATTAGAAGTGCTGAGAGATGGAGAGTAAGTTAAAGAGCAAGATCCGTCACCACCTACCACTGATGGTAGAAATAGTGAAAATGGTAGAAAAAGTTTGCAAAGAGCTGCAATAACTACACTTAAGGACGTGTAAAACCAATATGTTATTAATCATCAGATTTGTTCATAGTGTAGGAGTAATCCACTGCTTCCTAATTAAGGTATTAAGAACTACCACAGAATACTGTTGTTTCAAAGTGCAATTCTTTATCTTCTATTTGTTTAGACTTCCAAAAATAGGTCTAGATCCATTCATAAGGTCTTCTACTATTTCAGAAAAACTTTGACATTTGTTGGAGTTTTAAGCCTAATTTTCAAATTATTCAACAAATTAAACAACCAGAACTTCTGTAATGGTAGACACCATTAAAGTTCTAAGTAGCAATTGCACCCTATGGTAACTCATGAAAACCAGTATGATTTGGAGAGAAAACACCTCTTGTTGGGATTCAACTTCAGTAAAGTGAATGCTGAGTCTGCCATCTTCAGAAATAGCATAAAATTTGCTTTCTTATAAAAACCTTTCCACTGTAAGAATTACCTTTTTAATTTTAATAATCACACTACCCAAATAATCCCCATCAAAATTCGGAGAGTAAACAGGAGTTAAATCCCCACATAGTTTATCTTATTCAGAAGAGAAAGAGGTGCCAAAGTTTGTATAAAATAACAAACTCACTACTGCTACACTGGAAAGCACTTACACTTTACAGTGACGGGCTGACTGTATAAATCGAAGAGCAGGGAAAAGAAAATTAGTTGTGTTGAACTGCCTTATGCCAACTAGGAAAAATGAAGCTCCAAAGCACAGAAAACATCTGACCAAGAAATTATGCAGCCTTCTTTTACCAGGACATATCTTTCCTATAGTAGTTTTATTTTTTGATGGTATAAGTTATCAACATAGGCTGGAGTGGCTGAACCAGCTGTAGAAGAGCAAGATCCACACCACCTTCCAGTGTCCCTTTAGTGTCCACTAAATGCTGATGCAGTCATGACCGCCACAGTTCAGTCTCATGCCTGGATTTTCAGCTGGAGGCACAATGCTGAAGTGACTACTTACTAAAGTTGCTTTGCATCTTGATTTACAAAATAGAAATGTAGTAGTTGTCACAGGAGACTGTGTCATTCTCTAATGTGCAGAACAGGCTTCCTCATGATGATGTTGGAGGTGATTGCCCTACTGTTCCAGAGAGTATGTCCATTAAGAATCAAACTCCACAAACAGTAGTGAAAGAAAAACAAAGTAATAATTTATGTAAAATGGAAAGCCTAGGTGAGTTATGAGGCAAGCTGTCACACCTATCTACTCTTAAGCCTCTCCATGTGATGAAGATCAAACCCCCAATGAGCTGCATTGCTCCTTTGGACAAGTATCTAGTGTAAGCTGCATAGAAATTCCTAGTATTTACTACAGAAAAGGAGAAATTCTTCAGTGGTTCTTCACTGTTGAGAAAATAATTTTGTATACAACATTTTGCTTCTAAATATTTTGCTTCCCATTCTAAAGAAGGTAAATTGAAGAACTGTGATACACTCCTAGCAATTTACATACTTTAAGAGGGTAATTATTATGTTTCACTCCAATTGAAATGCTTTTCATTAATCAAACCCAGGAGTTAGCAGGGTCATATCCAATCCAACAGTCCACCAGATGAAATTTCTAGCACTGAAATGCCAACCAGAAGCAATGAATCTTAGAAGGACTGTAAGTCTGGGGACCATGTTGATGACAGGTAATAGTAGCTTTTAACGAAGAAACTACCAGAGGACCAGTAGTTCCTGGATATATTTTCAACAGTTTCTTAGCATCATACTTATTTCTAACATACTGAACTTTCGCCACTCATCTCAGGTGCTCATTCCAACAAAGGGACAACAGAAAAATTTATGCTTCAAATAAAGATGGTGCAGGTTTGAATGGCAGACACGTATTCCTGGCACTTGACTGCTGGTAATGACTTCAGACAACTGATAGAAAAACCTTAAACAATGTGTAACATTGAATGTAAAAACCTGTCCTGGGTTCAG